TAATGATTAATTAAACTCCTGCAATAACTAAATCGAAAATCATGAAGTTCGGGGGATAAAGAGAAATGTTTATTCTGCCATTTGAAATCCCATTTTACGCCTTCAATAGTTAATATTTATGAGTTCTGCAATTATTGATTACTTTATATTATTATTTATTGATTGATAGCTCAGATGTTAATGCTCGAATGGGGAGTTATCGATATCGCTGGAGTGAGAACCGAATTTGATTGATTTCCCATCTTCACGGGATTTTTCAGTCAATTCGTAATTTTTACACCCTTGTACCATTTCTTATAGTACAGGATAAGAAATTTCATTCTCAACGAATGTGAAGTTTACCCTCACGAAGTTTACTCTGTACTCACATTCGTTGAAAGCGTAATTTATTGCCTAGTGCTCTATACTATTTTATGTCCCTAGGACCGATAAACGGAGAATTCTAACTCCACATCGGTTTCGGACTTTTCGGATATAAAATATTGTACATCACGATCCTATAAAGCTATTTTACCTCTCATGGCATTATGGCCCCCTTCGGTGGGAATTATTGCGATTGATCTCGAATTATCGAACATGTGTGGGAAAATTGTTGTTGGAAAATTGAAAAACTCGCCATTTTGGCTCGCGCTTCTGGGAGAGAAAATTCAAAAAAAAATCGTACAGATACGAAAAATGTCGGGAGAAAATGGGAATTAGATGTGAAATGCAATATAGGCGGATGTCCCAGGGAAAATCGACTTTATCGATTTCAGTTTACGGGGTATTGACGTTTTTGTCACCGCTATTTCCATTTGAATCAAAGTTAAATTATTTCTTTGATCCTTCGTGGCACCGCCATTTTTCACGCTATCGAGGTCGTTTCGTGCTTAAAATGTGCGGAATGTTATCAATATTATCGGAGCATACATAACTTCATATCGGGTCCTTTTTATGCGGACGTACATATATAAAGAGAAATGATTGAAGATAGGTCGTAATCTTTCGCATGATCTCCCAATGCACTGGAATTTTTTTGCAATTTATGATGCAGTTTTAAATTCTAAATAATCATTAATAGTTAGAATAAACTCAACTTTTACCCGGCTCGATACCTTATCATATTTATAAAGTCTCCAAAATAAATTTATAGCGTTTTCACACGATAATATTGTGACTTGCAGGAGAAATAATTTTTTTTCTCTCGGTACAGGACGTGACTCCTATTATTTTCAGTCAATCCTTCGTATAAAAGGGACGAAAAAGTGAAATTGAAGCTTTAATAATGTTCATAAACTTTTCATAATTGGATTATACCGTTTTTACACAGCGAAATTATACGTCGTAGGTAAATTCGTAATGAAATTTTTGTAAATAGTCATAATTTTTCATCAACCCAACGGCAGAGAAAAATCTTGGTGGAGGAAAAATTATGGGGTTGATGAAAAAAAAAAATTCTGAGCGGCATAACAAAAACCGCTGGCCTTTCGCGTGAAACTCTCCTCTTAAAAAAAAAACTGCACAGCACAGTAAATTTTCTGTGTGGGTTCCAGCAATTTTCCTCGAGACTCAATTTTCCCTCGGTCGATACAATGCGTCTATTTATCCGGAAAGTCCCCCAGGACTTGATAGAAAATGTCACAACAAACGAATCGAGATCAAATACACTACAATCGGATGAAGACTAGCTCAAAAACGTCTACAAAAAGATATTCTATTGACAATGGGACAATAAATAAATTGAGAAGTTGGTGAGCTGAACTTAACTCCTTCTCTTCATTAATATCGCACGAGGGAGACGTCTATACTCCGGAAAATACCCCAGGAGAGCGAACCCGAGGACAAAGACCGGAACAATATCGTCACCTACCCCGTGGAATAATTCCCCAGCTAGTGGTCAATTGTTTAAAGTCGTCTCTAACGTTTTGGCATTTATTTATTATTCAACTCGCAAAACTCATTCATTCATACCCATCATTGTTATTTTACTCCCTCCCCCGCTGATTCGTAATATAAACAATGTTTATACATCACAAATTTTCAATTTTTGAGAAAATTGATAAGACTCCCCAACGCCAAGTATCTCTATATAAAACAATCTATAAAAAATATATATTAAAGAATTGAATATTTGAGATTTGAAAATTTGAAAAATTCAGAGAAACTTTTGAAATTAAATATATTTAAATAAATAAAAAACATGATATATGTTTTATATTTTAATAAAATTTCAATTATTCAATAAACTTTACGTCAATTGATGGCATACAGTAGTTATTCGGAAATCAATCTCGATTCATGAACGCACACAGATGTTTTTGATTCTAAACTTTCGAATTGAACTGAAAGTTAACGATATTCCTTGTAGTTTATGGGAATAATGGAGCAGGTTGGCGTCAGAAATGTACGAGAGACACCCCATCTGCTCAAACGCTTTGTACAACGATCTGTATACATTCACCAGTTAAATTAATCTCCCGACCTGCCTCAATCCCCTTTAAGTACAACCCGAAACATCACCGGTGTTTCTCAACTTGAAACTTTCTGTTGCCCTAGCCTTTCTCGACGTTTACCTTAGACCCCTGAAATAAGGACAGGTCAGTGTCAGTGGCCCATGCCATGCAAATGACACTCATACCACCCACCACCCTGTGAAAACCCCACGACAAACAACACAATCTCCTGTTGACAGAGTCCAAACAACCCCAAGTGCCTACACCCAAACCAAAAAAAGAAACTCCGAGAAACAAATACCAATTACCACAGATAATTATCCCCCAATTATTTTCCCTCAAAAAATCTCAATTATTAAAACTAAACGAAAATCTTCAATAATTCCCATTCCAATCCCCTATTTTTAAATTTAAAATAATATTTTTCATAAACAAGAAAATTAAGGTGGTAGACAACTCTGTTATTCGTACCTAGATACAAAATGTCATAGTCATAATGAAATTTTCCTCTGCGAGTTCTTTCTGCAGAAAGAAAAATGTCTCCTTTGAGGAAGCATTTTAATTACAAAAATTGAATGTTTCTGTCATGAAATTGAATTGAAACTCGTGGAGAAAGGAATAAGAGAGAGGACGAAAAAGGTAAAAGGCGAACAGGGGGATATAAAAAAGGATTGAAACAATTGAAACAAAAAGGGGTTTCGCGGCTTACCGCGACTATTGGTGGGGTTTTGAACCCTATAGCCACCCCCAACCCCTAGATGTGCACGTGTGTGTGGGTGTGGCAAGCAACGAGCAACAACAAAGTTACCGTGGACGAGCATCGATCAGGGGTAGACCAAGAGGGTGGTGGACTCCAGTGGGTGGGTTAAAGGGGGAAGGGGATGAAGTGAGAGAAGAATGAGTGGAAAAGCGGCGGTAGTCCTCAAATCCGTATCCCATATAGGCATCGGTTGCCGCGCGCCAACGAATCAACCGATGTGCAACGGAGAAAGAATCATTTATGATAAAAGGCAACAACAGGGTGATGGAGAAAGGTGGAGATATGGTTGAACGCGCTGGCGCAAAACCAACCAACACTCTCTTGTCATGACAGAGGCACAACGGGGGGTCCACCATTTCAAGGGGGATTTCAACCCTTCTAGGCTAAATCCTCTACTCTCTTCTTCTTAGGGATCACCCGAGTCTGATCATTTCCATCCTTTTCTCCCCCGCCCCCAAAGCTTTCTCACCTTTTTCCTAGTTATCTCCTTTTCTTTCAACCCCCGCCACCATCCCGTCGCCATCCCGTTGCCATCCCGTCACCATCCCGTCACCATCCCCCATCCTTTATTTTCGTTAATGTCTCGGGTCCTCGTTATTGCACCTTTAACCATTGTCTATTACTCACGTACCCCTGTTTACGTCTATTTTAGAATTGTTTTTATTCGTTCTTCGGGGTTGTTTACGTCTGATTCGCTACTTCCTCTCGCCGTTTGGCGGAGGAAATTTACTTGGGGGTGGACTTTTTTTTTTTATTGTATTGCTCTGAGAGCAACAGTTTGCTTTCAGAATACAACGGGTTTGCCCCGGCGAATTGTGCGGTTCATTCTTTTTGGTTGTTTAGTCACGCGGAAATTGGAGTTTTCCCAGGATTTTTTCCAGGGTGTTTTCCACGGGTGCGAGAACGAGCGTAATTGGTATTGGCGTACGGTGATTTCATTTGAATGGGGGGGTTGGTGGTTTTTTCTGGGGGGAGAGGGTTATGGAGATTTCAATTAGGGAGTCGGGAATTTTATGGGATTTTTGGGGGATGTGATATTGTTGGCAAATGGGGGGATGTCTGGTGAATAGACTCGGTGGATTTAACTGGAAAGTTGAGAGGTGTTGAGTTCTTCGGAGAGGACCTCGGGATTTTGTGTAGAATGGGCGAAATAGATTGGAAATATTGGGGGGGTACGGTGGGGGTGACGGAGAAATTGTGGTATGGGGTGGAAAACGTCGGGATTACGGCAATACGACGATGGAGTATATGTGAGTGGAGTGAACGGGAAAACCTTCTTGGGTTTCGGCATAAAGGAAACGTTGGATATTTATTTATGTTGTGGATTCTGTAAACGAGTGGATGCCATAAAAAGACGCATAGCTCCGGTGAAATAGAGTGGATGATGAAAGAAAGGGAATCAGGGGGGTGGTGAGTAGGGGGTGTGAACGGAAAATGAATTGCAGGGATGGGGGCTTTCAATTGGGGGAGATAATTTGAGATTGAATGAAAGCTCCAAGAGGGAAAAAGCCGCTTCGATTCTTTTTTTTATTATTATTTATTTCTAGCGATCTCGCCAAGCATTTCCCGGACAATACTGCAATTTTTGTACAATTTTTTAGCGTGATAGGATTCGCTAATTGAATAAAGCTATTATAAATTCAATGAGAGATGGAAATGGAGGGGTGAGTGAAAAATGTTGAGTAATTAACGCAAGAGAGAATATGATGGGTGGGATGCGTAATGAGCAAATGAAAGCCAAAAAGAATAAACATTGATCATTTCACGGATGGCATATGTGAATGGTGTATTTCTGCTTTAATTTTCAGAGCAACTTGACAGAGGGTGAAGAGGATTTGCCCGAGGACACTCTCTCATTGCTGTCTGTACTGTTCGTCGGTGAGATTGTATTCCGTACTTTATTCCATACATTTACAGTGAACAACATAAAGTAGATAAGAATCGTAAAAAAAAAAATGGGAATCAGCATTGCATAGAGCTTATAAATAAAAAAAATCTATAAATCGAAACGTGATGAAGAAGAAATGGATGTTCCGAGAGTGACGAGAATGATGAGAGTATTGAAAAAATGAAAATAATAAATAAGAGAATGTGGAATGACGCTTGAACAAAAAGTTGCTTGACAGATTGATCAATGGTCATTTGTATATTTATTTTCTGCTCTTCTGTTTCAGGGTTTCTCCTCTTTGTCCTGATATTCTTCTCAGTTGCTGGTAACGTATTGGTTTGTGTGGCGATATACACTGATCGTGGATTGAGAAGAATTGGAAATTTATTTCTCGCATCGTTGGCCATTGCTGATTTATTCGTCGGCTGTCTGGTTATGACATTTGCCGGTGTCAACGATCTACTCGGCTACTGGATGTTTGGTCCACGTTTCTGTGACACATGGATTGCATTTGATGTCATGTGCAGCACTGCCTCAATCCTCAATCTATGCGCGATATCACTGGATCGTTACATACACATCAAAGATCCACTCAGGTATTAATCTTGCCAGTTAGCACTTTGATATTTATCATTGTCGTTTAGGGTGGATAATGGCCAGTGGATTAATGTCGGTTTAATCGAAAATTCATGGGACAATGATCAAGTGATATTGTGGATTGTGTGCAGATACGGTCGTTGGGTTACCAGGAGAATTGCTGTTGCTAGTATTGCAACGGTGTGGCTTCTTGCTGCTACCGTTTCATTCGTACCAATCAGCCTGGGACTGCACAGGAGTCAGGAATCCAAAAATCCACCGCCAACCTACAACGATGGTACACAGGTAATTCCAGTATTCTTCTTACTCTGATAACATTTACTGGGAATTTTAATGGAAACACTTTTTCCGAGTTTGCCACTCTCCCCAACAACCTGCACGGATATTTTCATTTTAAATTCATCAGGGATTAATTCCTTCCTCAATTTCAGTCGGAAATTACAGAATTTTAATGAACATGTTCTGGTTATTATTTTTATCAAACTACCACTTGGCCTGACATTATTTTTTCAACTCCTCGAGTTATTAGTTTTCCAATGAAATTATATTTTCTCAAATAATTATAACGGAATTGAGAAGCCTAGCAAGACTGACGATTAGAAAATAAAAATTCATGAAGAATGGAAAAATCCACAGTATGATGGTCGATACCAAATTGTTGAAGGTACATGGATATCCTCAAACGGATAATTTTTTGTTCGATATCCCAAGGAATATCCAACCTGTGCTCTGGATCTATCGCCAACGTATGCCGTTGTATCTTCATGCATATCATTCTATGTACCCTGTATCGTGATGATAAGTATCTACTGCAGACTGTACTGTTACGCTCAGAAACACGTTAAAAGTATAAGAGCAGTGACAAAACTACCACAACCATCATCCATTGGTAAAAGTTTTCGCGCTAAGAGTACGCGCAAATTACAACAGGCTAAACCTAAACCACCGGCTAAGGCCAAGCCAACTAGTCCATATCACGTGTCTGATCATAAAGCAGCCATAACTGTGGGTGTTATAATGGGTGTATTTCTCATATGCTGGGTGCCATTTTTCTGCGTCAACATTGTCGCTGCATTCTGCAAAACTTGCATACCAGATCGAGCATTCCAGGTATGAATACTTTATTTACTAATGCATCCTGTACTTCCTAGGGGAACAAGATGAATTAAATTTCTTCTGCTTGTACTTGCCGTTCTTGGTGATTTTTTATGTGCACTTTGCGTATTAAATTTTTTTTTTTCCCTCGCTCTACCTCTTCATTTGCATACGTGATACGCGTTCATCTGAAGTACATAATTTATGGAGAATACTCTCTAATATTCTGAGATTTTATTTTTGACGGGTAGAAGTAGACACAAAGAGATTGTTTAAAAAGGGCAAAGGGTAAACGACGAGTGAAAATCCATAGTCCTATGTACACTGGCCATTTCTCTCCATCTCTCTCTCTCTCTCTCTTTTTTTTCTCTCTCTCTCTTTTTTTCTCTCTCTCTCTCTCTGTCTGATGGCAAAAAAAATATTGGCCCAATTAAATGTTTTTTCAATCAACCCCTTGGCCTGGAGCGATTTAAAATAATTTTATCGAGGTATCAGTATGAATTTTTCATCCTTCCCTCAAACTGAATATTTATTCAAACAGGATTTCTCAATCTCATTCGTGTCCCTCGTCCTAATATATATTCATACCCCACGTTCTTCCATGCAGTTATTTTTACGAGAGAAAAGCCGATGTAGGAAAAACGTGGTAATAAAAATATTGCTTTTTCCGTAAATGTAGAGGCGTGAAAAGAGCCTCCGCCTCTCCAACGAATTAACGTGGAGTAGAGCAAACATTTCGACTTATTTCACTCATCCCAAGTTGGAAATAAAAAATAGTATGAGTAATGCGAGAATGTGAGGCTCTTGGGTGTATTGAAGGAATAAATTTTTAATTCGACAGGTGCTCACCTGGCTTGGCTACAGTAACTCGGCCTTTAATCCAATAATCTACAGTATTTTCAACACCGAATTTCGTCAGGCATTCAAGCGAATCTTGACAAAGGGCACAAGAGCGAGGGGTAATCAACCATCCACCAGTGAATGCGGTGAATTTCGTTCTGTTATCGTGCAAAAACGCAATGGTTCAATAGTCGAGTGCAACATCAGTCCAAGATCGAGTGCTGACAGTTGTCAAGTTGGACTTGGACGACAGCATCGTGACACTATTGTAAGTTCAATATGAATTACAACAACTGGATAATAAAGACCATCACTATACGATAGGTGTAAACAACAGACAGAGGAATTTATCATAATTGGCCAGTTTGGACCATGTCAACGACAATCAGCTTAATGAAGGAAGATTAAATACCAAAGTTAAATCAATGAGGCATATCCATGATTGCGGACAAACTGTGTGATAGATATAACAATTACTTGGATGGCACATTATATCATGAACTTTCCAATGAAATTTCGACAAATTCGAGGATTATACTTGCACGAATAATGTAAATCATCAATCTAGATAATTAGAGTGAATCGAGAACATTTACTGAATTAATCATACAGATTATCCACTCGACGCACACGGGTTTCACTCGATATATCATTTTTATCATCTTGTAAATGATCATTTATTTATTTTTCTATTAAAATTATTGACGAGAAAATGTGAGGGGTAAAAAAAAGCTGTTCACTGATTATGATCAACATCATGATCGATCTATATAGAATAGCAGTGAAATCACTTGACACGATGTGGTTCAACGCCTCTCGGGAGAGAGCAATATCATCATTAAATAAAACAAAACCAAATATACATATTAGTATCGTTACGATAATCGATATTATCTGAATCGTGTAATTATTATAAAACTCAGAGCTCCATTAATCTTGTTTTATTTATCATGTAAATATTCATTGTGTACTCTAGTCAAATAAGTCAATAATGTATAAACATTGAAAAAGAAAAACGGGTAATTAATTTTCACGTAGAAACAAAATGACCGATGTTTCAATGAATTTAATCCCCTCAGACCATTAATACTTAATGATCCAGCGGCTAACGTTATTAAGATGGAATTAACGTATTCGTACCTTCGAATTGTCCATCAAGGGTACAACCGGTCTTCAATTATACTCGAATGACTTTCCATAAAGCCCCCGTGTCTTTGGCGATTAGCTGATTCCTCAACTGTAAACGGAATTGTTGGATTAATGCACTTGGTATGCAGGTAGGTATGCTGATGATTTTGATACGATAATGCCAGCCTGGCAAAGGCATAACTAAATTCCATGGGATTTCGCTTCATCAGCACTGGTTACTCTCATGGCTTCTACACCATTGAGTAGCCACTTTACCCAGTTTACAGTCGAGTGCAAGTTTCAACTTTCTAAACTCTCGGAATATTATTTAGCCTTTTATTGAGTTTGATTCTTTACACGAGGAGATGAGTGTCATTGCTGAATTAAAACAGAAAGTATTTTGTAACTATAAACGACAATCTCATGTCCCCGGGGTATCTTCAATGGAGTTCATCCCACCATGTGCCCTTTTTTTTATACCCTTTATCTCCCTTTATCTCCCTTCATCTCCCTTTTTCTCCTTGACTCACCCTTTTCAGATATTCCCAGGAAAAATGTCAAAGAAGCTTTTTCATTTCGATAAAATCTCCCATAACTCGCAAATTTTGACAGCTGGCCAGTGCCCGCTGGGACAACCCGCACGTAAAACTTTGGGAATAGCTATAAAATTGGGTAAATAGAGTTTCCAACTGGGGGGACGTGTGCTGCAAAAAAAGTTTGAATTTCTCTCGTGGGAAGTGGTACTGTTTCCTTAACGATAATTACCGCTGCTTTATTACGAGGATCCGTTGTGCTGTCGCTAATTGTCACGTCACATAATCGTGGAAATTTAGATATTAATCTGCATAATTCACCGTGACAAATGCCAATCATCTCTGGATAATTGATCCCTCAATTAGGTGAGTTGACACTGTCAGTCAACAGTTGTAATTGATTGATGTAGTTATCATGAATTATTCGAAATCAAATGTTTGGTGGAAAATTTGTCCAGAGGGCGCCACCTCTCGGTCTATTTACGTTTCAATTTCGATAGATCGAAGCAACAGCCGCTCTGGCCGCCACGACACTCGATAATGTCGAGGAATAACCTCAAACTCCTTATCAGATTGCAATCACAACAAGTGAATGAAAAAGCGACGCGGCAACATTTATTGTTGACAAACTTAATCGAAATTGTTCATTGAGGAGTTAACGGTGGAATTTTATTCAGTGAAGTATGTCAAGTGATTCGAATAATGTGGTATTAGTTCATTCTCAAGAGCAATAATGGGTGATATACGTGCAGGACTCGAGGAAATAAAGCTCGACGAGGCACTATTTGCCGATGTTAAATACTACGTCAGTGGCGAGGCTGATCCTAAGGTATTTCACATCGTTATTTATCCTGTAATTAGATCAATTACCCACACTCTCGATCTCCACGCCGATTCGCCACAATCCCACAATTTTTCCAATTGAATTACTGAAAATAATCGGTGGTACTCACTTGGTTGAAAATACTCCATCAAAAGCTAACCCCAAGGTACAGGTATCATTCCAGAATTCATTTTGATATTTACCACCACCAAAAATCGTCCGAACAATCCACATACTGTCCAAAACCCTCGGAGTTTCTACAATTGAATATAACGGAATTCTTATGATTGCGCGGGATAACATTTTCAAAACAATTGCTTTGTTGATTTTAGTAATTAGTGTAATAATCGTCGAAATTATTTCTCAATTGTAAAGAAGTCGTACAATTAATGACAAAAACAATTTCGGAATAGGTATCTCATGCAAAAATGTTCATCCATATGTCATAATTCCCATTCAGATTGTCTCACTGCTGCAAAAAGGTGGTGCAGAGCGCTGCAACTACTTCAGCAGCTTTGTAACCCACCTAATAGCTGGTTACGAAGCCCTAGAAAGTGATGTTTGTCAAGCTAAAGAGTTATATGAGATACCAGCAGTAACTCATGACTGGGTTTCGTACTCAGCAAAATGCAAAAAACTCCTTCCAACAAAATATTTCTCCGCGGAGGAGAATCAGTTATTTTCAAGCGTGAGAGCATGTATATCCCAGGTGAGCCTGGCTGATAGCAAAGCCCTGTGGGCGATGATATCATTGCAAGGTGGGAAATGCCAGTTGCGTTTGGATCGTTTCTGTACACACTTAATCGTGACTAAGCCGAGTGGTTCGAAGTATGAGGCTGCCATGAGGCATCACGTGAAGATTGTAACACCAGATTGGGTGGTTGATTGTTCCAAGAAACGATCTATTGTCCCCGAGGCTGACTACCATCCAAGATTGCTGATTCATCCGTCGCCAAACAGCTCAACAGCATTGATAACAGGTTTCATGGATAATACCGAGGACAATGGAGGGATTCAGGGCGATCAAGACCGCACCAAGGTCATGTTGGAGCAATTGAAGCAGAGAATGCCATGGAATCAGACAAATCCCCCAGTCAGTGCCCCCCAATCGTCGCCATCCCCTCAGGGAATTAATCAGCAACTTCCAACAACCTCTCCAAACGTCCAACTCCCGCAGGAGAATACACCGCCATCCAATTCTGGGCAAATAGCTCCAGCCCAGAGACAAGCACAACAACAGTTCCAGCGAAACGTATCAACTCCCAATGTGACGAATTACTCCGCTCCAATTGTCTCTGCTAATCAAAACCAGAACCAGTCTCAAACACCTCAAAATCAAAATTGGCATGCACAGATGCCTCAAGTCAAATCACAAATCCAGTCATCACAACCGCAGCAGCAACAGCAGCAACAGCAGCAACAGCAGCAACAGCAGCAACAGCAGCAACAGCAGCAACAGCAGCAACAGCAGCAACAGCAGCA